TGTAGCAGGAGAAACTCAAACTTGATCCACCCACTGAGGCTGCGGTCTAGGTTCCTGCCTCCGGCCTGCATTTGCTTTCTTTTATTCGACACGGATCTATCAGCAGCTCCAAGTGTGCAAAGATGGTGCAGTGCAACACAACATGCACCTTGTGCCTCTGTGGTTGGATTGACTCTAGATTACCAGGAACATTACGAGTGGCAAACAGGTGGAAAAGAACACCTGTAGTCTGTAAATGGTAGACCGGCGTCTTTGATATAATCCAGTTTGTTTATGTCAAAATGTAAAGTACTTGTCTTCCCTAGAAATCTTCCAGAAAGATTTCTCCAATAAAAGTTGATTTCATTTATACCCCCAAGAATATTCTATAAATGTTCCATGCATCATGAAATACATTTCTTTAGGGTCAGGTACAATTTGTCTCCTAGGTATAGTTGTAATATAGTGTCCTATGGTCAAAAAAATGTGCAACTAGAAATATTTAATTCCTATAATTATGATTAAACATTGCTTGACAGAGTTTTAAACTTAAGTGTTTGGCAGTTGTTTACAAGTACATATCAGATTTAATCATTGTTGATTGTAAAACAGACCAAAGCCTTTGTATTTCATCTACACAATGTTATTTTTTTTATTTAAATTTTAGTCCTGTGTTGGCAACATTTTTGTAAGCACGTCTCGTTTAATTGCATTGGCTTCGAGTTCGGAAGACTGCAGTCGAACCCTGCAGTCCTTATTTATAATTGAAGACCATGGGAGGGTTTTTCTAGCATCATCTGTCATGCTCTTTTGAGTTTTTGCATTTTCGTTTCAGTGTGTATACACGACGAGCGTGGACACAGACCGGGTTCACGTTTGAGCATCGCTTCTGCGCTGAAACACGCTGTCTCTTTAAATATTTCAATTTAATTTTATTTAAAATGGAGCTTTTTAAATGTATTTTGTGAAAACTATAAAACATTTTGTACAGTAAAATTGTGTCTTAAAGAAAACATTTCCCCCACTTTTTTTTTTTTTTTTTTAGTTTCCTGGATGTGTCAAGTTTTTCCCATGCAAAAAAAAAAAAAAAAAACCCCTTACCAGGACAAATTGGAATTCTTGTACATTTAAACATCAAACCACTGAAACAGCTTGTTAAATGTGGAACGACAGTTCAAAATTTCACAAACAAGAGGCGTCAAAAACAACAAACCTCTGCTGATGTATGGGGCTGAACAAAGTGGACACAGAGCACACAACAAAACACCACCTCACAATAAGAAAGGTCAAGCAATTCACCATCGCTGGCTCTTGTTTTAGTAGAGTTACGATAGTATGAAAAAATACAGCAACAAGGAAGAGGAGGAGGAGGAAGAGGAGGGAGCAGAGAGAAAAGAGGAAAAAAAAAAAGTTGTGGAATAAAGCAGTCAGTGCCCAGAGCGAGGCAGAGGAGCGATTGTGTGGCAGAGTGAGTTATTTTGCTTCACTTGCTGCCTCAGCAGGGGGGAGGGGGGCATGTGTGTGTAGATTTTAAAGGGGGTGTGTAGACACTGAAAGACCATCTCTGTAAGGGCAAACTATCCAGGAGAGAGAGGGGTCAGGTAGCATTCACACAGCATGCAACACCTAAATCTAAAATTGATTACTTGAATTTACACGTCTTGTTGCTTCGCCACAAGTTGGACGATGAATCAGATTCTTTAAAGTGATTATTTTAGGGTTAATGTGATTTCTCCATTCATTTGATCCACTTTATCACACAAATGGAGGAACAGTGTTCGGAAGGAGGCAGAGCAGAACGGTCGTCTGTTTTCGAGACAGAGGAGGAACATTAATAATTACAGAGAGAACGAGAAATAGAGTCGAAATGCAGGAAGGCCTGCAATCAGTGGAAGCTTAAATAATACACACAGTCACAACGAAGTGGTTGAAATGCACAGTGATTTTCACGCACTACAAAGTCAGCAAGTTTCTCTACAAGTTCTTTAGAGCTTTTCTGTTGTTGATCCGCTTTTTAATTGATTTTAATTTAAACCTGAATGCCAACAGCTTCGACCGTTTAATCTCTCGTATGCGTTTTAAGGAACAATAAGTAAAATATTATTTATCTAACAGAGCATTTTAAAGTCTGTAAACTGCTTTGGACAGGATTAATCGATAACCAAACTGTAACACACATTTGAAGATAAATTGATTTGATTAAATGAAACTTTTCTAAATGATGATCACTTAAATTTAAGGCTGATTTCTACGTTTCTTGAACAGTATGTCAGTGTGGAGGCCCTCCGATAACAGTACTTCAACGGCGAGAACAGCTTTGGTTAAGAATCAAAAGGACACGAGGAGCTGCTGCCAAATGAATTCACCATTTTCATTCTCATGTTTTTGCTGAGGAGTGTTTCAAAGAGCAGTGTCAAGTTGCCAACAACACTGATTCATTTCTTACAAATTACATTTGCAATACAAGTTTTTGTCTTTCAATAACTTGAAATATTTCTCGTCAAAATAATTTACATAAAACTGTTGATGCTACTTTTATTACAGAAACGAGAGGGATAAAGATCCAACAAAAAGTCATGTGATTCTTGAAGTTCCTGTTTAAGCCTTTGATTGATACCGATGGCACTGAAGACAATAAAATAAAACAAATTCAAGAAAAATGCCCATAAAATTTTGTCAGCCAGCAACAAAGGTGTGAACAACAGTTAAAGTTTAGTTTTTTGTTGTAGGCAGTATGATCTAAAAATAATTTTACCAGTAAATAAAAATACTACTATAATTTTATATTAGCCTTATAAAAGAGGAGTTTGGTTTCTGAGGAATATTCACAGCAGCACATTCACACACAGAGAATGGCATTCATTTTTAAAACATTTGAACGTGGACAAACCAAATTCAAACCATAAAACTTTCCTCTTTTTTTACGACTATAAAACAAACAAACAATAAAACAAAGTTAATCAAATCATTTCTGAGTTGACAGGTGAAAAAAATGAATCAGAACAATGGTAAACAAACGAGCGAAGCGCTGGTAAGGCAACACAAAAACACAATGGCAAGATGGATTTATTCTTCTTTTAATCTTCATTCAAAGTTCATCCTAAATACGTCAACACTTCAGCACCAATAACCTGCAGAGCTGTTGTATCTTCAGCTTTTGGTCATCTGTTGAAGTGAACTGTGCGCGTCCATTACCTCTCTCATAAACTGGATATAAATCTATGTAAAAAAAAAACAAAAAAACCTAAACAAACAAACAAAACCCTGTCAGGTAACTCATCTTTCTCCAAACACATGTTGTAAATGATCACAGGTTCTGCCAAGCTTCAGCAGGCAAAACAACACAATGTGGCACCCACCTCAGAGTGAGGAAAACAAAAATGAAACATTTGTTTTTTCATGCTGACTCTTTTTATGCGTTACCCCGTGTCACCGTTTGACCTAATTTGTTCTTTTTGGGGCTTGTCATGGCAGAGCAGCTCATCCAGCAAACACAGCCGATGAGGTGTGAAGCCTGCACTCAAATCCAGCTCTCCTGCCCTGCTCCGTTTGGATCTGCTTAGCAAACGCAGACATACCTCACCTGCACAGAGTCGAGGTCACATGGAGGCATAAGCTAAAACCAGTCACATCTACCAGGCAGCCATCACTCATAGCATATTCACTTTTTTTTCCTGAGATGATGATGTAGTGCAGTAAAGTAAAAAGCTGAGAAGAAACTACAAGTAGGGTTGTGCATACTTATTTTTTAATTCATTTCACAAAAGCATCTTTCAGTGTTCTGAAAAAAAAAAAATTGCAGGATGTAAATGTTGAAGCAGCACAGCAGATGCTTCTTGTTCTGTAAAGTAAACCCAAGATTAATTATTTAATGTTTGCCAAGAAGGAGTTTGTATAAAACCTATAAAATATTTTATGATTACACTTTCCTTGAAAATGAAAATCCCTAGAGCAGGGGTCTGTAAGCTTTACCATCAAAAGAGCCATTTTTATGCCTTCGTTCAACGAGCTGCAACAAACTGTATCAACTGATGGCTCATGGGCCACTTCATGTTTGTTGGAGCGGGTTTTTGTGGCCAGTACGTGTGACATTGTAAAGCTAAAAATATAAAATGATTTTTAACATTTATTGATATTTTTTACAATTTAAGTCAAATGAAAAGACCAGATTCTTGTAAAGAGGTGGTGGTGGGGGTCTAGTTAAATGAAAAAACAAACGAACAAAAAAAAAAACCCCACAAACATCACACAAACAATAACTATGAATAGAATTAGAATAGAATAGAATAGAATTCAACTTTATTGTCATTGGACATGTCACAGGTACAAAGCAACGAAATGCAGTTTGCATCTATCCAGAAGTGCTTAGCAAGAAAAATAAATTGGCAGATATAAACTATACTATAAATATACTATAAACTATACTATAAACTATGCAGATTTATGTGATTTTTCTTAATTGTGGGAAAAAATAATTTAAGTATAGAAATAAAGTCAAAGTTAAAGTGAGTTATGTTTTACTCCTTCCAATATTCACATATTTGCAAAAAAAAAAAAGACAGGAAAACAGCTAAAACTAGTCCTTTTTGTTGTTGTTGTTTGTATAAAACCAATAAAGTTCAGTTTTATGTTAGTTTTGGTCAAAGTTTGAAAGAGCCGCATGTGGCTCCAGAGCCGCAGGTTGCAGACCCGTGCCCTAGGCAGAGAAAAACAAAAACATCAAACTAAACCTAAGCAATTTTAAATTATATCTTTACTTAGATTTTAACTAAATTAGGAAATATTTACTTCACCAATATGCATTTTTATGGTATTTAACGAAAACAGTTGGTTCTCATTTTTTGTGGAATAAAATAAGAAAAAATATAATCATATTACAAGTAAAAACCACTTCTAACATTGTGAATTTTCAGCTGATAAGGTAAAAAACTCCATTAGGACTTGTACACAAACAGTTTGAAATGAAAGTGTAAATGTGTCTGTTAGAAGCCGAGGCGTTGTGGATGTTTAGATCTTCACTCCTGGCTGAGCTCGTTGGCAGGTGGTAATGGCTGGCTGGGTTATCGCAGTTGACATTACGTGGGCAAGAGAACATCCTGGTCACTGAGGCAAAGAGGACAATGGCTGCAGCTTTCCAGTTGTTTATTTCCCATGGTGACTGTGCAAGAGCTTTAGAAGTCCAGGTGTTTGGTGCCGGATGTGCCGGAGCCGCAGGCTGAAGTGGCTCCTGCCAGCTCCCCCCTGCTCACACGACTCACCGTCTCGGATAAGTCCGGAGGCAAATGTAATCGCTACAGAAATCAGAGTTGGGGAGGGAGACAGAGGGAGGGGGAGGCAGAGTGTTAGTGGGCTTGTACGAAGCAAAACAGAAAGCGCTACAGTAGATCAGCATACAGTAGACCGTTCACTTCGGTGGTGCTTATTCACAGAAAGCCATGTTGGGTTGAAATTGCATTAGATGCTTCAGCACTCCTCTTAACACTGGAAACACAGAGTAAATCTGCAAACCCTGCTGCTAAATGCTTCATAGAGCTTTGGGCCTGTTACACCTCAAAAGACATACACTGTATGGTACCTGTACATGGGATTTTGATGTTATGGAAAGTTTTGTAAAATGATACACTCAAGGGGAAATTTAAAATGTGTGATCTGACACAAAAGCGTACAAACAATCCAGATTAGTGTTTGCATGCTTTATTTTTAGAACAGATGGATATGTTCCGCTAACACCCATATCATTACAAACATAAATTCAGCTGTTTCACAGCAAAGCTTTTCTGTAAAGCCGATTTCAAAGCACAATAATACCAAGAGGTTAAAAAGGGCCACTCATGTAAACCCTCTTTACATCAACATGCTAACTATTATTAGGCCTTAGAAGGGCTACTGCTCTGCTCTCACTAGAATCAACATAAAAGGCCACCAATGGACTCTTGTGGACAAAGTCTTGAAGAGCACTTGAGAGCGTGAGAGGAAGTGAAGTATCTCCCGAGTCAAGTGTGCCCTCCGACAATGGTGTTGAGTAGCACGTTGCTCGAGTGTCTGTCAAGGAAGTTAAATCAGAATACAGCCATTCTGGGGACAAGAGAGGTTAAACCCTGTAATTTGCTCCTGAAAGAATCTGCCATGACATCTGAAACCTGCTGGTCAAAGCTTGCACTCCCACCCAGTCCTCTAAACATTTCCCTGCCCGCCACATCCTCATCCCCTCCAGACATCCAGCTTTAGGAGAGCTTTTTCACACCCACAGATTCTTATCTTTTTCTAAATGACTAGATGTTTGGGTATGGCGTTTAAGAGTGTCATTACTAAGAGATAATTCAAGACTACATAATGTTCTTCACCCCTTTAGGGTAGACTATTCAGCATTGTTTTATTACTGATGTTCATGTCTGATGTGAGGCCTTGTGTTTCAGAGAGACATCTTCCTCGAGTGTTTCTTTTCTTACTGATAAGTTTAAAGGGAAAACAGAAATAGAAGGGAAGATGTTTTTTGAGTTGAACAGAAAAGTATTTGTGGTAGGCTAGACATTTAGGATGCATCTATAAAGAAAAAAAAAATGGGAAAGTGGCGTAAACGCATCAACTCTCAAGTTAAGTCTTAAAGACAGAATACTTTCACATGCACACATTCATGCTAACCCATACACTGGAATGCCAGAAGCTCTGCACAAGTTCCGTCCCTGCCAACCCTCACCTGTGTAACCTTTCGTGTCTTCAGCTCACTCGAGTGTGATTGAAAAAGAAAAACAATGCATTGATCAAGCCTGGACTCACTCCTGCTTAGTGCACTGCAGCAGAAACATGGCAGAGAAAAGGGTAGGAGAAAAATCAATCACATATACATCATCCTCACTGGGTGAGTAAAAAAAAAAAAAAGGAAAAACAGATCACACCGTTGTCTGGCTGCCATGCACCCATGAGCCTGGCTATGCCGTGTCTCTGGCTCTGCGCTTTGGGAACCCACTGAGCATGTGCAGAGCGAAGGTCAAAGCAATCCAGAAGTGAAGCTCAGCTTTTCTAACCTTTCAGTTCAGGGGCAGATGAGAACAATCAATGGCAACATCAAAGTTGGAGGGAGGAGCAGACAAAACCAATCGATTGGTTTGACACAGTGAGAGAAAAGACGGCCTTGTGCCAGTCAACAACCACAACATACATCAGTGGAATAATTATGAATACCATGAATACTCCATGCCAACTTTTAATCCACATACACAAATGTCCCCTCAATGCTAAAAGGAATCGTGCCAAAAAAGATTTACCAATTAGTTAAAAATTTTCAACAAAGTTTAATGTCATAGTAGGGATCTCTTTAGCAGAGCTCCCTTAACTACTGGTATTATTATTGAATGAATGGAGTTTGACACTGGAACTGGAAAATACATGGTCAGTGAGGCTATGAGTCGGCTTCCCTATGACCTGCACACCCCATGATGTAAACAAGGACATCCGGAAAACCCTCAGAGGCATAGTGGGGTGTGTGTGTGAAATCTTTCTCTGCTGCCTGGCAACCTTCTTGAGGGTGGAGAAAGAAAAGAAAGAAAAAAAAAAGATGGGGTGGCGGGGGCAATGGAGGGTGTTGGATGGGAGTGGGCGGCGGGAAAAAAGACCATTGGCCATGGTACACTGATGGGGGGTGGGAGTGGAAATGGATGTGTGCCACAATGTTAGTGTGAGCATGTGTGCGCAAGAGCTGCGATGTGTTTTCTCCCTGGTGGCGAGCAGGGGTAAAGGTCTATGGTTCAGCCTCTGCTCCACAGCCAGAGGGGCCTGGGCCATGCTGGCAACAGAGTGAGGGGCGACAAAGCTCCAAACGACCGCTAAGCACTTCAAATGAGCCCTTGGGGCTGCCCCAAAGACTAGCTTTGCCTAAGAGGGTTACTGATATCTCTCCACAATGGACAATTTCCTTCAGCTTAGAGACATCTAAAAGACGTGGTTCCTAAGAAGAACAACAAATCATGCTGCTTGATTGTTTATGGACTCCACATACAGCTTTGTTTGTGGATACAATATTTGCGGTTTATGAGTTAGAAAAAGACGCCAATCTGCCATTTTTATTGTTTGTGGTTATGAAAATTACAACAGAGAGTAATTGTGTAATATTCAGGGTAATTTTTCCCACTGGTGCTCACAGGGAGCCACTCACACAAAGCAGCACCATCAAAAGCATTCCACTGACGGTAACGGCTTGCTAATGAATGGAGTATTAGGAGCTAATTTAACGAGTCATTTCTTCTATAGAGTTTTAGCCACACGTTCAAATGGCCCGTGTCACTGTAGATCTTAGAACTATGGGAAACCCAACACCTTGTTGAAACACATGACAACTGGTCTGGCTGTTCCAATCAGATTAGTTGTTGATGGAACGTGCAAGTGACACAATATTTACCATCAACACTGACTTACCACAAAAATAGTTACATTGTGGTCAGTATTTTTAGAACCTTCTTCAAGTCAGCAGTAATGAGACACAGTATTGTTACCAAGTTTAGATTTATAGAAAAAAAAATGACTATAGAGTATGAATATTTGCTCTGAAGGATGTGGGCAAAATATAATTTTCCAGACACAAAAGCAAGTGGTTTTGCCTGTTCTGTTTCCCTGAGCAGAACAGCTGCAGTGCAGATACTGTAAACTAATGTGTCTGACCATGACATTGGGTCAATGTCCTCTATTTCAAGCCCCATTTCTACAACCAGCTAAGGGTCAAAATGGCAACAGAATGTTTCATGGCTAAAAATTGGTAGATATTTCCCAGACTTCCCTGTCTGTTGAGTCACTAAACCAAGCTAAATCACCTCCATAGTACCATAATCCCTCACAGCTCTAAAGTTACACAGCATTGTGTGGGAAATCATTTCCCGAATCTATAGGAACCAGTATTAACTTAGCACCTAAAAACATCCACACAATAAGGTGATGTTCTTTCCTATTTAAGACACAAACTATCATCACAATTACGCTGGCAATTTCAGAGAATACTTCCGCTGTTTTGCCAGACGAAAATTGCAAGAACACCTTAGCATAAATCCCATCGCTTTGCTTTGTGGTAATTCTAACCCACCTACATTGAACAAAGGTAAAGAAGAAGCTTTACTTTCCTCCTATTTGTGGCAACAAAGAGTGAAATATGACTCCTGGCCTTGCCCTTAGAACAACCTGCACAGTAGAAAAATTCTTCTACCTGACCCTTTCTCATTTTCAGAGCACAACAATTTATTTATTCCCTTAATTTCAATCATTTGTTTTTTGAAGCTCTATTCATTTTAAATATTTTCTCTAAAGCCACACCTTTAAACTGCATGTTAACTTACCAGTACTTAGCTCATTAGTTACGATGGAGCTTTAGGGTCACACACAAAAAAAAAAAAAAAAAAAAAAAAAAGCCATAAAATTACGAGAATAAAGTCATAATATTACGAGAATAAAGTCGTACGAGACTTCTTTTTTTAACAGCTCTCGTTAATTTTTTTCCGCCAGTCGGATCCACAACGCAACCTGTCAATCAATCCAGTAGGCGTGTCCGCAAATGACCAATCCGAAGCTAAATGGTCCTTACCTGCAGAACTGTGCTGCAGCCCATCAGAGCATACCACCTTAATGTAAGCAGGTTCAAAGTCCTGATACTGATAATAATCTGATGCTGATATGCTCACAGATTAACTATCTCGTTATTTGTAAAACCAGTACCAAAGTATAACAACAAGATGCTCAACATTCTTCATTTTACCACAGTTAAAATGTGGTAAACCTGCTTTATCGTGTCGGAGTTCAGATAATATTACGAGTCATTTAGCTTCAGATTGGTCATTTGCTGACACGCCTACTGGATTGATTGACCGGACACAACGTGGATCCAACTCGTGGAAAAAAATAAAACAAGAGCTGTAAAAAAAAAAAAAGTCTTATGACTTTATTCTCATAATGTTAAGACTTTATTCGACTTTATTCTCATCATTTTATGGCTTAAATTTTTTTTTTCTTAGCGTGGCAATTAAAACAATTTTTTTTTTAGTGTGGCTCAAAATCTTCGTCGTACATTAGTATAAGGTAATTAAGTACAAAACTTTACATAACATGTACAAACTGATGTTTTTTGTTTCCACAATGCACAAATGGTGTTTGAAAATACTTTTGTATCAACTTAAATGTTATGCAAACAATCGAACAGCATTAAACAGAGGAAAAGAAACTAACATGGGAAACATGCATTTTAGCTCTTCTCAAATTTCTCTTTGGTAATTGGACGATGGTCACCTGCCCACCAGGTCACCTGCTGCCTGAT